TTACGTCCCGAAACTCTGGAACACTCTCCCTCAATCCCTCCATCTCGACCCCCTTTCCCCTCTAAGTCCCTCCTGAAAAACCTTACTCTTCGACCGTGGTTACGGTCATCTCAGGTCGTGTGATTTGGGAATTCAGAATTCTTTGCTTGAACATCAAGGCTGTGTTTCAGCTTCTTTATTGTGTATTAAAGATGATTTTACAATGGGTACTTATTACATGAAGGAAGACGTATAATAATAGTAATAATACTTTAATTTGCTATAGGGCCTTATCTCTTTGTTGAAACGTCTCAAATTGCTTCACAGGATATTGTAACCTCTGGAATTCCATCCCCCAGTCACTTCGCCTCACCCCCTCCTTAGCCTCCTTCAAGTCCCGTCTCAAGACCCTCCTCTTTGACCATGCCATCGGTCACCCCCCCTTCCCCACCCCTCCCTTCTCCCCCCTGACCCCAGCTCGGGTCTGAAATGCTATACTCTGCCCAGCGCCTTGGGACGTCCTCCCGACGTGAAAGGCGCTATACACATGTAATATTCTTGTAAAGCGGAGTGACTTTGTCCTAAAAACAGTCATTGATTGAGTGACCAAATTATTTTTGTTATTTTTTGGGTGAGGGATCGTTATCCCCGGAAAACGATCCATCAATCGACTAACAACTGGGTTCTTGCTTACTGCTAGCTGCTGGAGATGTGGAGTACGTGTGGAGTACGGAAACTTGCCTAAGGTTTTATCCTGCCTGAGATTTGAATCCGGGTCCTCTCACTTGCAAAGCAAGTGCTCTAACCAGTGTGTTATGGGCCTTCACTTTTTGCTTGTTCAGATGCATATCAAAGGACTCTTGGCACTGTATTAAGACCAAAGAGTTTTCCTAGTGCATGTCCAATATTTCTACCTTTCAAATTCACTGCATCGCAGCGCAGAATGATACCAGGTCTTAAAGGGTTAAATTACGAGGACAGGTTCAATAAGCTTGGTCAGTATTCCCTTGAGTTTAGGTGGTTGAGGGGTGATCTGATTGAGATGTTTAAGCTAGCGTAGCTACAGAAAACCTATTTCCTCTGGTGGGTGAGGAGGGAATCCAGATCAAGGGGCATCATCTTAACATTAGAGCCAGGCCGTTTAGGAGTGAGATAAAGAGGCAATTTTTCACACACACACAAAGGGGAGTGGAAATCAGGAACTCTCCCTCCCTCTCTCTCTCCCCAAAAGGCTGTGGATCCATTCACATTGTCCAGACTGAGGTGGAGACATAAAAGGCAAAGCAAAGTACTGCAGATGCTGGAAATAAACACAGAAGTCACTAGGAACACGCAGCAGGTCAAACAGCATCCATGGAGAGAGGAAAATAATAACATAATAATAATCCTTGCATGTTCACGTCTTCTAGACATCTCAAAGCACTTCCCAGAATATACTGACAAGTGAATCGACTGTATATTTTGTGGGCAAAACGCGGCAGCCAATTGTACACAGCAGCGTCCCACAAACAGTCGTGGATTGAGTGACCAAATTATTATTGTCCAGACTGGCCGATGGAACGGTCGAAGAGGAGGGTCTTGAGGCGCGACTTGAAGGAGGCTAAGGAGGGGGTGAAGCGGAGTGACTGGGGATGGAATTCCAGAGGTTGGGGGCAGAGTGGCTGAAGGCTTTCCCGCCAATGGTGGGGCGGGTGGGTCGGGGGACGTGGAGCAGCCAGAGCCGGCTGAGCGGAGGGAGCGGGCAGGTTGGTAGGGGGTTAGGAGGTCGCAGAGGTAGGGTGGGGCGAGGCCATGGGGGGGCTTTGTAGGTGAGGACCAGGATCTTGAACTGGGTCCTCTGAAGGATAAGGAGCCAATGGAGTCGGGCGAGAATGGGGGAGATGGGGTCACAGAGTTTGGTGCGGGAGAAGACATGGGCTGCAGAGTTCTGGATTATCTGCAGCCTGTAGAGGGAGGAGTTGGGAAGACCGACAAGCAGGACGTTTCCATAGTCGAGCCTGGAGGTGATGGAGGCATGAACAAGAGTTTCAGCGGCCTGAGGGGTGAGGTAGTGGCGGAGTCGGGTGATGTTATGGAACAGAACCCAGGCCTCTTGCTTGTGAGGCAAGTGCTGTAGCCACTGAACTATGTGGCTCCATAAAACGAGTTAACATAACATGCAGGAGTAGGCCATTCGGCCCTTCGATCCTGCCCCGCCATTCGATCATCCCTGATCTTCTAATCTAACTCCAACTAATAACCTGACGCTGCCTTATCCCCATATCCCTTAATCCCTTTTGCAATAAGAAACCTATCTATCTCAGTCTTGAATATGTTCAAGGACTGAGCGTCAACAGCCCTTTGGGGTAGTGAGTTCCATACATTCACTACCCTTTGAGTGAAGAAGTTCTTCCTCAACTCAGTGCGAAAGGGCTGGCCTCTGATTTTAAGGTTGTGACCCCTGGTTTTAGTTTCTCCAACCAGGGGAAACAATCTCCCACTATCTACTCTATCATGCCCTTTGATGATCTTATAGGTTTCTATAAGATCCCCTCTAATTCTTCTATATTCTAGAGAATATAGGCCCAAATTGGTCAGCCTATCCTCGTAACTCATCCCCTTCATCCCTGGTACTAACCTAGTAAATCTACGCTGCACCCCCTCCAAGGCAAGTACATCCTTCCTTAAATAAGGAGACCAAAACTGCACACAGTATTCCAGGTGTGGTCTCACCAGGGCCCTATACAGTTGCAGCAAGACTTCCCTACTCTTATACTCTAATCCTTTCATAATGAATGCTAACATACCGTTCGCCTTCCTAATTGCTGCTGCACCTGCAGACTAACTTTCTGTGATTGGTGTACAAGGACACCCAAGTCCCTCTGGACGCTAACACATTCCAATCTCTCCCCTTCTAAAAAATAACCCGCTCTACTGTTTTTGCTACCGAGGTGGATGACTTCGCACTTCCCTACATTATACTTCATCTGCCACCTACCTGCCCAATCACCTAACCTATCTATGTCTCGCTGCATTTTTTAATGTCGTCCTCTGTGTTGACACTTCCTCCTAGTTTTGTGTCATCCGCGAATTTAGATATATTAACTTCGATGTCCTCATCTAGATCGTTGATGTAGATGGTAAATAGCTGAGGCCCAAGGACTGATCCTTGTGGCACTCCACTAGTCACATCCCGCCAATCTGAAAAGGACCCGTTTATCCCTACTCTTTGTTTCCTACCCGTTAACCATTCCCCAATCCACGTTAATATGCTCCCCCAATTCCATGGGCCCTTATCTTTTGGACTAACCTTTTATGCGGCACCTTATCGAATGCCTTCTGGAAGTCCAAATAGACCACATCCACTGATTCACCCTTATCTAGTTTACTGAAAATATCCTCAAAAAACTCTATGAGATTTGTCAAACATGACTTCCCTTTTGTAAAGCCATGTTGACTTGGCCTAATTATATTGTGCCCTAAATACCGCACTACCACATCCTTAATCAACGATTCTAAAATTTTCCTATCACTGATGTGAGACTAACTGGCCTATAGTTCCCCATCTTTTCCTTTCCACCTTTTTTAAATAGTGGTGTGACATTTGCGATCTTCCAATCCATGGGGACTGTTCCAGAATCCAAGGAATTTTGGAAGATCAGACATAAGGCATGTCTCATATCTCATATCTCATAAGCTCCTCTTTTAAAACCCTGGGATGCAAGCCATCCGGACCAGGGGATTTGTCACTTTTTAGTGCTAACAGTTTCCCAGCACCAATTCCTTACTAATGAAAATTTCCCTAAGTTGCTCCCTGTCCTTATCCCTTTGGTGCATCTCTATTGTTGGCAGACTTGTTGTGTCTTCTCGGGTGAAGACAGGTGCAATTTAGGGACTCTGCCATTTCCTTATCCCTCATTACAACTTCTCCCGTCTATGACTGAAGTGGACCTACATTTACCCTCACCAGCCTATTCCTCTCAATATATTTGTAAAAACTTTTACAATCAGACTTAATGTTCCCAGCTAGCTTACCCTCATACTCCTTTTTCTCGCTCTTAATGAGTTTTTTAGTTTTATTTTGCTGGTTTCTAAAACTCTCCCAATCTTCAGATTTGCTGCTTTTCATGGCAGTATTATAAGCCTTTTCTTTTAATTTGATGCTTTCCCTAACTGCTCTAGTTAGCCACGGATGAATTGCTTTGCCTGTGGTACTCTTATTCCCCAAGGGAATATGCGACCGCTGAGAATTTTGCACTACATCCTTAAGGTTTCAGGTCTACAACCTTTCATCAGAACTGTCGAACATTTGTCAGAACTGTTTATTGTAGGCAAATGCATACATCAAATGAAGCGCTGTGTGCATTGGCTGCCGTGTTTCTCCCACAAAATAACATAGTCACTCCACATTACAGTATTTTCTGTATATTCTGACGTGATAAGGCCCGTATCAAAAAAAACTGCAAGGATTATAATTGGTGTGAAGACAGCTATGGAGCGAGTGAGTGATTTATCTGTAGTGTTGGCGTGTTTGTTTGTCAGCAGGCAAGTGGAAAGAATCCTGTCCCCAGTGACGTGTTTAGCCATACATTCTTGTATGAAGGAAAGCCAACTGGACGCACAGCACTAGTGATGATGACAATAATAATCCTTGTGTTGAATATATCGCCTTATCACATTGTTGAGGATTGACAACCAATTTGAGGTCATTGTTGAGGACTGACAGATCCATTTCAAACTTCTCACACTTGTGTACGGATCTCTTCACCCCCCGGCACTCTCCCTACCTCTCCGATCTGCTTACTCCCCAACCCATTACCCACTGCCCCACTCGGCTGGCTCCAGCCTCCTGCTCGTCTCTCGTGCCCTCCGTTCCATCAGCAGCCATGCTTTCAGCCACTACGCCCCAAAGCTTTGAAACTGTCTCCCCAAATCCTTCCGCCTTGCCTGCTCCTTCCTCTCTTTTAGATCATGAAGACCTTCCTCTTCGACCGTGCTTACAGTCTCCTCCTTCCTCCCCCCCATCTCGGCATCATGCTCCGCCACTATCAAGCGCTCCAGGACGCTACTCTGGTGAGGGCCGCTGTGTAAATGCAAGTTGTTGGTGGTAGTGGTTGTGCGAGTGGAATTTGGTGAATGTGTTCAAGACTGTTCAAGTCTGATTACAATGTATTTTCATGCAGGAAATGTCAGAGAGAGAGTGCGCATTCCATTCCAACAATCTATCTGGGGTTTCCACGTTTATGTGAGGTCTGCAGAATTTTCAGGGTCAGGATACTCTCAAGCACAGTGATGGGTTTCTGCATGTGTCTGACACCAGGCTGGGAGAAAAAACAAGAGTAATAATAATGATCCTTGCATTTGATAAAGTGCCTTATCACGTTGTTGAGACGTCTTAAAAGCGCTTAACAGAATATACTGTAAAATGTAGTGACTATATTTTGTGGGTGAAACGCAGTAGCTAATTGTGCACAGCAATGTCCCACAAACAATCATGGATTGAGTGACCAAATTATTATTATTTCTTTTACAGAATTTTACTGAACCTTTGCCCATCACACAAGGACTCCTCGACAAAATAAAACAACATTAAAGTCATCTCCAATGGAAATTCCAGTATTGTATACAATGTTCAGCCTGTGTTAGTACATTTGATAATAATTGTGACGTCTACTGAAAGTGCTTATTACAAAGGAAACAAGATAAGGATTGAATGGCGTCTTACGTTTTTGGCAACGAGAGATTGGTACTTGTGACCAGTATCAGTTATTCACGTATTGGAGGGAAAAATCTGGTCACTGTTTTAATCTTAAGTGGAACAGTGCAACGGGAGAGGGGGAGAAGGGTTCTATATAACAGTACAGGGTATCCACAAACCCGTTACAAACAGCAAACAACAACCACAGTTACATTTACCTTTCATATCGGGTGTCACAAGCCGCTGGATTTGGACCCGAGCTGGGGTTTGGGATCAGGAGGTTGGAAGACAGGAGGGTGGGGGTAGGAGGGTGGCCAAAGGCGCAGTCAAAGAGGGTCTTGAGACGGGGCTTGAAGGAGGAAAGGAGGGACGTTGAGATGGGAGTTCCATAGGGTGGGGGCAGAGAGGCTGAAGGCCCGACCGCCGATAGCGAGCGGGTGCGTGAAGCGGGCCGGAGCCCCCTGAGCAGAGGGAGCGGACGGGTTGATATGGAGTTAGCAGGTCAGGAGGAGCAAGGCTGCGGAGATAGAATGCTGGGGAGGGGTTATCAGAGATGCATTTCGCCTCCTCGCTCCATCCATGTTATGGAAGATATTGCAACAAACATGACGATGGATTATTATCAGCCATGAAAATGATGGCACTCACACACTCTCTGGATATCTAAATATGTGTAATAATAATTATAATATAATAATAATAATTATAATAATACAGCAACAGGATTTTACTGAAAATATTTTGTAAACTAAATCCAGGTATACACATATTATTATACATAATATAATAATAATCCTTGCATTTGATAAAGCACCTTGTCATATCTTCGAGTCGTCTCAAAACGCTTCACAGAATAAACTGTAAAGTGTAGTGACTGTGTATTTTAGTGGGCAAAATGCGGCAGCCAATTGCGCACAGCAGTGTCCCACAAACAGTCATGGGTTAAGTGACCACATTTTGTTTTCAAGGGAATTATTACCGCCGGAAAGTGATCCGAATAGTTTAAAAAAAAATATTACGGCCAGAAAATTTATTTTTTAAATTCAAATCTCAATCGTTTACGATTAAATTTCTTTAAAAAAATTCAAATGTAAACAAAATGAAAATTAAACCCTTGTACTGAACGCCGTCAAGAACTCGCAACTACAATTATCATCACTCTGCCATATTTCAGGGGTTGCGATAGCGCACTGTAGAAAAAAATCATGGGGGTAAGTAACAGGGCTTTGTGGACATCCTGTACATGCGGTGCCCAAACTATACCATGTGGCCCAATGATGTGCATTTCGTGGAGTCCTGTAGCTCAGTGGTTAGAGCGCTCGCCGCGCAGCGAGAAGACCCAGGTTTCATTCCCGGGCGTGTCAGGATGAAATCTTTGTCAAGTTTCCTTACTCTGCGCGCTTGAAGCCGTTGTTTGCCCAGCAGTAATCAGGAACCTGCTGGTTAATAGATTTTCTGGGGTTAATAATAATAATTGGTCACTCGATCCACGACTGAAACCAATTGCCTGCCCCGCTTCGCGCACAAAATCCGCACTTTCAGTGTATTGAGACGTCTTGAAGACGTGATAAAGCGCTGTATGAGATGCGAGGATTATTCGAATTGCTAGTAGTATTTCTCCCCCCTTTCCCCCCCCCCCGCACCCCAGACAGCAGGCTCCTGGCTACTTCGGGAGGCTGTGGAAGACCTTGATGTGGATGGCAGAGTTATTCCGGGTTCGGGTAAGCGGTTCCCCCTCGTCCAGTTCTGGTTCCAGGTCATCGACCAGCTCCACGGTTGAGGTGTTGGCCGCGATCTGCAAGGCCCCGAAGCTGTTGGCCTGCAGCTGAAGGGCGATGTTGATGGCCCTGTTAATGGCGAGCCCCAGCCCATGGATACAGATCTCGCTATAGTGGCCACTGTCCAGCATCTTCTGGCACCTCACCAGCTGGGCCTTGAAGTCCGTCTTCATGTTGACGTAGATGTCATTCTTGCGCTTGGGCAGCTTGTGTGGCAGGCGCTTGCGGAGGGTGTACTCCACCTGGTCCATTTCCAGCCCCGCGTCCGGCCCGGACACTTTCTGTTGCCCCACAATTGCTCGCGGCTCTGCCATCTTGTCCTGAGGGGAAGCGGCGAGAGAGACAGACAGAGAGAGAGAGAGATTTTACACCAATTATCAATCGTGATTATAATAACCGTTGCCTTTGATGTGGCGTCTGCCTTATCACGTCGTCGTGAAGCGCTTTGAGACGTCTCGACGACGCGATAAGGCAGACGCCGCATCAAAGGCAACGATTATTATTATTATTACTACTATCGCGCTCTGAAGTGTTCGGCGACGCCACCCCACCCGCGCGCGATGGGCCAACGACGACAACAACGGCCATTTATGACAGCGCCCTCCAGGCAGGGTGGCGGCTCGGAGCGTGAACCGTGGCAGAGCCGGACTGCTCCGGTTCGGGCTCCGGCAGGTGGCCACCATCGTCGTTTCCCGGCGTCCGTCCAAACGCAGAGACTGCCCCACCGGCCGGGAACCAGGTGAGAAATCCATTGATGGGTGGATGGGGGGATTGGGTGTGGAGCGGGGTGGGGGTGGGGGTTAGTCCTGCGGCCCGCGGGCCACTCCCTCCTGCTCGCGGGCCGCTCCATGTTGGCCCGCGGGCCAAACTCTCGGCCGGCCGTTCCCTGCGCTTTCTCTTTCTCTCGGCGTCTCGCTCTTTCTCTCTTTTTTCTTCCTCATTCGTTCACTCACTCACTCTCTCTCTCTCTCTCTCGCTCGCGAGCGCGTTTACCTGCCTCCCGCTCGCTGACGGGCTCCAAAACACCCCCTCTCCCCCTCTGACGGACGTGCGATGCGACCTCACCAAGATGGCGCGACCTCACCAAGATGGCGCGGCTTCACCAAGATGGCGCGGTCGCGCACGCGCACCTGGCGCGCACATACCAACAAGCGCACCTCCCGCGGCAAGAGCCTCCCGCTCCAATCGCTCCGGTTTGCCCCGCCCACCTCGGCTGGAGGTCTCCCCTTGTCCCACGTGCGTTTTGCCTCCCATGTCAACAGCTGAACCTGATCACAGTCCCACCCACCCGCAGAACCCCCAGTCACTACACTTCACAGCGTATCCCGAGAAGCGACTCGAGACGTCCGGACGGCACGACAATGCCACGATTATTAATGTCGGCAATAATAATAATAATAATCCTCGCATTTGATATAGCGCTTTTCACGTCGGGAGGACGTCCCAAAGCGCTTCACAGAACACACTGTAAAGTGAAGTGACTGTATATTTGTGGGCGAACGCGGCGGCCAATTGCGCACAGCAATGTCCCACAAACAGTCGGAGATTGAAATGACCAATTTATTATTGTTTTGGGTTTTGAAGGGATTATTATTAGGCTCTGTGTGGGGTAAGGAAACTTGCCCAAGGTTTCGCCCTCTGCCTGGAATTGAACTCAGGTCTCTGACCACTGAGCTACAGGACTCCACTTAATTACCAGCGAGGCGTTTTAAGACAAAGTAGTTTCGGAATAAATTCAGTGATTATTTGAATTCAATTGCAACGACTGATCGATTCTTTTAAAATAGTTGTTAAAGGAAACGGAGGGGCGGTGAGGGGACCTCTTTTCACACAGCGAGTTGTTGGGATCTGGAATGCAGTGCCTGAAAGACCGGTGGAAGCCGATTTGATAACAACTTTTAAGAGAGAAGTAGATAATTATTTGTGGAAGACCTCTGGTCAATTGAGGCGAGTGCTCTAACCACAGGAAACGTGACCCAAATTTTATGTTTAATAATAATAATAATAATCCTGGCATTCGATATAGCGCCTGATCAAGTTTTTGAGGCATCTCAAAGCGCTTCGCAGAATATACTGTAAAGTGCAGTGACTGTATTTTGTGGGCGAAACGTGTTTGAGGTCCCAGACCTCACGGACCTGATGAAACCAATGCCGGGAACAACAGCAACAGCAACAGCCACGTGGATTTGTATAGTGCCCTTCACGCCGAATGGCGTCTCAGAGCGCTCAGAGCGAGGAGGAATGTAAGCCTCCTCACATGTACCGAGCACGCAAACATACACACACACAAACATACATACATACACACAAACATACACACACACACAAACATACACACACACATACACACACACACAAACACAAACATACATACACAAACACACACACACATGCAAACATACACACACACACACAAACATACATACACACAAACATACACACACACACACACAAACATACATACACAAACACACACACACGCAAACATACACACGAACACACACAAACATACATACACAAACACACACATACACAAACATACACACACACAAACACACACACACAAACATACACACACACACACAAACATACATACACACACAAACATACACACACACACACAAACATACATACACAAACACACACACACGCAAACATACACACAAACACACACAAACATACATACACACAAACACACACACACACAAACATACACACACAAACATACAAACACACGAACACACACACACACACACCGGTTGGTGGTGTAGCGGCGCCATCGTGCGGCAATACACAGAACTGCAGGTAATCACATTCAGGGAAATTGGTGGAGTCACAGCGCCCCCTGTGGTACAGTTTGGGGGATTATTACAACAACAACAACAACGACGACGAATTTCGTTCCTGTGGCGCCTTAAATAAAAACAAATAATCCGTGTCATTTGCTATTGCGCTTTTCACGTCTTCGAGACGTGTCAAAGCGCTTCACACAGTAAACTGTAAAGTGCATTGACTGTATATTTGTGGGCGAAACGCGGCCAATGACACACAGCGGCGACGGTCCCACAAACAGCCGTGGTTTGAAGCGACCGATTTATTGTTTTTTTTTAAGGATTATTAACCCCGGAAAAGCGATCCGTCAATCAACTACCAACGGGGGTTCCTCCTCACTGCGGGTGAACAACAACAACAACAACAACAAAATTCGATTTGTTTAGCGCCTTTCACGTCAGAGGGACGTCCCAAAGCGCTGGACAGTCGGAGTTTCGGACCCGAGCCGGGAGTCGGGGTGCGGGAGGGGGGGAGAGGGCAGAGGGGGGAAGAAGGGCGATCGAAAGCACTGGTCAGGAGGCGAGAGGGGGGGTGGGGGGGGTGGGGAGGGGGCGAGACAGAGGACTGCGGGATGGGGTTCCGGAGGATAGGGGCAGAGTGGCAGAAGGCGTGACCGCCAATGGTGGTACCACCGGCCGTGAAGCGGGACGGAGCCCACACTGAGCGGAGGGAGTGGGCCGGAGGTGGTCGGGGGTTAGGAGGTGGCAGAGGTCGGGGGGGGGTGGGGGGGGAGACCATGGAAGGTTTTGAAGGTGAGGGCCAAGATCTTGAACTGTATCCTCTGTGCGAAGGGAAAACAGAGGCGTATGTGTGTGGGTGTGTGTGTGGGTGTTTTTGCCCCGACCTGACCCGCCCGGGAATCGAACCCCGGGGTCTCTCGCTTGTGAGCCGAGGGGTCTCACCGCTGCACACAGCAGCGGGAAAGCTCGGCAGACGGTGATATCGTAGATTTATACAACACAGAAGGAGGCCATTTGGCCCATCGTGTCTGTGTCGGCCCCTGAAAAGGGCCTTCCAACTCACTCGTACTCCCTCCCACTCTCTCACCATCGCCCTGTAAACGTGTCCCGGTGACGGGTTTCCGTGTGTGTCAGACACCCGACCGGTCACGGTGACGGGTTTCCGTGTGTGTCAGACACCCGACCGGTCACGGTGACGGGTTTCCGTGTGTGTCAGACACCCGGCCGGTCACGGTGACGGGTTTCCGTGTGTGTGTCAGACACCCGACCGGTCACGGTGACGGGTTTCCCTGTGTGTCAGACACCCGACCGGTCACGGTGACGGGTTTCCGTGTGTGTGTGTCAGACACCCGACCGGTCACGGTGACGGGTTTCCGTGTGTGTCAGACACCCGACCGGTCACGGTGACGGGTTTCCGTGTGTCAGACACCCGACCGGTCACGGTGACGGGTTTCCGTGTGTGTCAGACACCCGACCGGTCACGGTGACGGGTTTCCGTGTGTGTCAGACACCCGACCGGTCACGGTGACGGGTTTCCCTGTGTGTCAGACACCCGACGGTCACGGTGACGGGTTTCCGTGTGTGTCAGACACCCGACCGGTCACGGTGACGGGTTTCCGTGTGTGTCAGACACGCGGCCGGTCACGGTGACGGGTTTCCGTGTGTGTCAGACACCCGACCGGTCACGGTGACGGGTTTCCGTGTGTGTCAGACACCCGACCGGTCACGGTGACGGGTTTCCGTGTGTGTCAGACACCCGACCGGTCACGGTGACGGGTTTCCGTGTGTGTCAGACACCCGACCGGTCACGGTGACGGGTTTCCGTGTGTGTCAGACACCCGACCGGTCACGGTGACGGGTTTCCGTGTGTGTCAGACACCCGACCGGTCACGGTGACGGGTTTCCGTGTGTCAGACACCCGACCGGTCACGGTGACGGGTTTCCGTGTGTGTCAGACACCCGACCGGTCACGGTGACGGGTTTCCGTGTGTGGCGCGAACCCACACGGACGATGGTATAAAGTGTCGGCTGTGACGTTTTCGCGTCGTTGGGGCACGAAACCAGTCGGTTCGAACGTACCGTGAAAAACCTCATCGCGCATCGGAGGTGCGTGAAAAACTGCTTCGCCGACTGTGCCGTCGGGGGTGGAGTGACCGTGCGTGCGTTTCGGGGGCCGAGACCCGGCGGCCGGTCGCCCCCGGCCACGTCCACGCCAACAGCCGGGGGTCGAAGTTGACCGAATTATTGTTGTTTCGAAGGAAGGGGCTATGGCCCCCTCCGAGAAGTCATCCCCCAATCGATCGCCTGACAAGCGGGGACACGGGCGCGCGCGGGCGTGGGGGTGGGTGCGTGTGGATGGGTGGGTGTGTGTGTGGGTGTGTGTGTGGGTGTGTGTGTGGGTGTGAGTGGACCCCGGGTCCCCTCTGGCTCGCGAGGCGAGGGCTCGAACCCCCCCCACTGGGGGACTCCGTCCGCAGTCTTCGGAAACAGATCATCACTCGGTCACAATTGGGACCTCCGGTGGTGCGTCGTTTGGGTCTCAGGAAATAACCCGAATCAGTTCCTGTTTCTCAGGACAACTCACGGCTTCAACCGGAGGAACCAGTTGAGGGTTTGTCTGTGTCAGAGCGTCCGCTCCCTCCTCCTGTCTCTCTCTCTCTCGCTCCCTCTCTCGCTCTCTCCCTCTCCCTCTCCCTCTCTCTCTCGCTCCCTCTCTCGCTCTCTCCCTCTCCCTCCCTCTCTCCCTCCCTCTCTCGCTCTCTCGCTCCCGCTCCTCTCTCTCTCTCCCTCCCTCCCTCCCTCTCTCCCTCCCTCTCTCGCTCTCTCCCTCTCCCTCTCTCCCTCCCTCTCTCGCTCCCGCTCCCTCTCTCTCTCCCTCCCTCTCTCTCTCTCCCTCTCTCTCTCCCTCCCTCTCTCGCTCTCTCTCTCTCTCTCTCTGCGTGGGAGTTGAAATACGATCCCAAACAGCTGATCCGGGGCCGGGAACGAGAAGCCGATCCCAGGAGGAAATAACAAATCTGGGAACAAAGGAACGCCATCTCCCCCCCACCCACCGGCCCCGAGCGCCCGGCGGTCGGACCGAGCAGGTCGGAGGCGAGCGGGTAAGTCCGGGGGTAGGGGGTGGGAGGGGTCGGGGGGGAGGGGGGAGAAACCAGGGCTTTATGTGTTGCGGTGTAACCCCCGAAAGGCAAAGAGTCTTCGAGTCCGAACTCCGTCTCGAAAACAATTGGTGTTTCTGTGCGACTGTGTGTGTTTGTGGGAGGACGTTGGAATGGACCAGAGCGTCGCCATAGTCACCCCCCGTGTCACCACATCACCCCCCGTGGCACCACATCACCCCCCGTGTCACCACATCACCCCCCGTGTCACCACATCACCCCCCGTGTCACCACATCACCCCCCGTGCACCACATCACCCGTGTCACC